TACCTTTAGTGATTGTGAGGCCCAACCTTCTAGCCTCATCTTCAGTAATGAAGTTGTTGATAGCTCCCGTATCCACCATTGCTAGTGCGGGTCGACTATTTACTTGAGCTTCCACATGCATTAATCCTCGTTCATTATTGGAAGTCGGAACGACCTTAGCATTGAGAGCGTTAAGAAGTTGCAATGAACTAAAATGTTCCGCCCTTTGATCTTGGCAAGAGGATGAATCCCGTTCCTCCGCCATAGCCGCAATGTGCTAAGTTTAGGGCAATCACGCATTAAATGTGGCCCCTTGCACACGAAGCATCCACTTTGAGAACCCGTTGAGGCCTTCTTCTTTTCCTCATAATTTTTTCGCGAGAGGGAAGGTTTGTAAGTGTTACCACCTTTGAAGAATGATGACTTATGGTAATCTTTCTTCTCTCCCCCGCCTTTAGCCGAGTTACTCTTAAAGCTTTTAGAAGATTTTGATGAATCCGTGCTCCTTTGGAACTCGGTTAAAGATTCGGCCACCACAATAGCCTCGTCTACTGTCTTCACTCCCCGACGTTGAAGTTCTTGCTTCGCCCAATTTTGCAATCCGTCGGTAAAGTGAAACAATAGATCTTTATCCGACATGCTCGGGATTTGAAGCACAAGGGTAGTAAACTCTTTGACATAATCGCGAATAGTACCCTTATGTTTCAACTCCCTAAACTTTTTACGGGCCTCATATACTACATTTTCGGAATAAAATTGGCGTTTCAATTCCTTCTTGAAATCATCCCAACTATCTATCCTACAAGCACCCTATTCTATGTCGGCGTGCTTACGTCGCCACCATAGAGCCGCGGTGTCCGTAAGATACATAGTCGAAGTACGTACCTTAATAGCTTCATCCAAAATGTTCACGCCCTCAAAATATATTTCCAATCGCCATAGGAAATCATCTAGCTCTTTTGCATCTCGCTTTCCATCGAACTCCCTAAGCTTTGGATAGTCGATCCTTGGAGCCGCTAGAATCATGCTAGTACACGCACTAGTTGACGCCTTCTTACAAGCGTCTAGGCCACTTTGCATATCCGCGCAAAGCTTGTTCACTTGGTCTTGGATCGCTTTGACAGCATCCATGACCTTACCCTCCAACCTCGTATATTCTTCCCTTAAAGCGCCTTGGTCTTCCTTGAGATCATCAAGTTGTTCCAAGGTGTAAGCTTCAAGGGTTGAGAGTGATTCTCCACTACTTCAATGCGTTCTCCCATATTGAGAAATACTTCCTCAAGAGATCCACCGGTAGGGGTTGGTGGTCGGCTCTTGCTTCGAGTTTGTCGAGTTTTCTTACTCGTGGTTTGGGGCTCGACCTCTCGACCCCGCTCGTCATGTTCTACTTCCGAAATGCCGGATCCCACATCTTTTTCCGCCATATCAACGATAGTAAGTGAGCAAACCTGGCTCTGATACCAACTGTCACGGACTTGCTAATTTCCTCCAAGAAGCATGCGGCCTTAGTGTCTTCAACTTCCGCCCCCGCGGTTATTACACTAAGTCAGCCTCCCGATTGGCGTTGATGTCTTAGAAAGGCACTAAGTAGAACACTTTAAGAAAGGGACAATGAAGGAACACAAGAACTTACAAAGAAGGCTTTGTATTGAATAAGGATACTCTTTACAACTTCACTCTCTTAATGACTTCAAATGAATCCTAACAAGCTATTTATAGTAGTAGCCTCCTCAAATGGATGGCTAGGATCTTTTCTATCCAATGGTCTAGATTACACATCTAGAATTATCTATACAAATATTTACATTAAAATATTTATGGACTAAACTAGGATGATCTAGAATAATCCACCAAGTGAGGAGCTTGTAGGCTTCTAGAATGTCCCACCATATTCTAGCAATCTTCATGCACTTGTGGGAGTCTAGAATATTCCGGTTAGCCTCAAGTCGTCAACATTTTAAATTTCTCGATCTTCTTGTGCCAAAATCGAGCGAGTCGTGACATTATGCTTGCTTACAGTACTGTATATGTAACCATATAAAAACAGATGTGCATACTAAGTTAGAAACCAGTATCATCAGTTTAACAAAATTCGTTGCACATATCAAGAAAAACTACTGACCTCTGCAGATTATTTGGCAGGTAGATAATAAAAACAAGTTGTTCTATTAACCATGTGTGCGTTTGGTAAGCTTTAAAATACGTAACCTTACTTGTAAGTAAATTTTTATTTCCAAACATATCTGGATATATTGCCTTTTTCCAAGTTTTAAAAAAAAAAATTAGGAAAGGACAAAAATAATTTACCAATTTCCAACTTTGACGCAAAAAATTATTCATTCTATGAATTTCTAATAAGGTAGATAATAAGAACAAGTTGTTCTATTAACCATGTGTGCGTTTGGTAAGCTTTAAAATACGTAACCTTACTTGTAAGTAAATTTTTATTTCCAAACATATCTGGATATATTGCCTTTTTCCAAGTTTTAAAAAAAAAATTAGGAAAGGACAAAAATAATTTACCAATTTCCAACTTTGACGCAAAAAATTATTCATTCTATGAATTTCTAATTACTCACAAGTGAACTTATAAAAGTAAATATTTCAAGCTTGGTCAAAACATGCACCGAGTCTATTTAGTTGTGGAACTCAAACCTTTAGGGACATCCCACCAATGGGGAAGATATTAGAAAGATAGGAGTGGTGAATTCATAGAAGACATTTTAGAGAATTGAGTTTATCAGTTTGAGTCTCGTCACATTAAACTGATTTCAGTATTCCAGAAAAGAATAACCAGAATTTGCTATTAAAATCATCCGTCTGTAATTATAAGCAAAGATCTTGGGTTCTGGTTTGACATCTGAAAATAAAGACATTGTAAGACAAATTTGGTTTCCTCAGATGGTGGACCATCAAGCAATTATCATTAGACCCACGATACAGAGCATCTAAGATATCTGAATTTTGTTTGCAAATGAGTATAGGCCTTGTAATTCAGAGTTTCAAAAACATATCATTACATTCGTAATGTTATTCATTTTAGAGAGAGAGAAAAGTAACACAAACACAAATTCAAAATTACAAGATTTTTTACCGTAGGTGATCCTATTCTAAATTTCCCTACCAAATCAGTGTGTTTTGAGTCTTTTCTTTGAGTTGAAGAGACACAATCCTTTTAAAGACAAAGAAATCACTTGATATCTACATTTTACAAGACTTTTCTTGCATTTTTCAAACATTAATTTAAAAAAAAAAAATACTTCCTGTTTTTCATTCCCCTGAAATTATAATAGAAAACTTACAATGTTCCGAAGACTAAGAATGTGGTTAATTTCCAATGCCTTCTATTGGAATAAAGAAAGGAAAAGACAAAGACAAACCTTAAAGTTTTCCCAAATCTGTGGAACCCTTGCAAAGAAAAAAATTGCATGTTGTGATGCCTGTTAAAATTTGCTCCATAGTCAAGCCTCACATATTCATGAAATATCATGTTTAATAAAAGAATAAAAAGATTATGATTTCCTCAGGAAGTTATCAAGGAATACAAAAAGGACAAAGAGGAAAGTGAAGAAAAATAGGCCTCATTTAGAGCATGTTTGGCTAGGGTTAAAAAGTTTACTAATAAGTAAATAAATAAATTTTAAAATAAAGAATTTCTTTATGGATAGAGTTGAAAATAAGTTACTTAATTTGATAGTCTGGTAAGAGTTAATTTTCAAATAAATAACAACTCTTACTTAAAAGTAAGAAAAAGAAACATATCCAAAAATGTTTAGAAACAAAAACTTGATTAAATGAAACTTTTACTTTCTTTTAAGCTGAGCCAAATATGCTCTAAAAAGTGATAACACAATAAATAGTATTGACTTACATATAGAGCTTCAAAAAGAAGGGGATCGATTTGACCGGCTAAGATAGTAGGTGCTACACCACAGTATCTGTTGTTAAATTAGTAAGGAAATGTAGAATTCATTTGTAATGCCACCAGAGCGCTTCACTAGTATACTGGTAAATACACATAAAAATTTCATTATTATCCACTAATCCATAGAACGGAACAACGGATACATTAATGCCCTCATCCACGTCCAGGTTCCCATAGGTTGAGAAAAGTAGTAGATGATTGCAACTAGAATTATGGCTGCAAAGCACAAAATCCACAAAGTATTAGTACAGTTAGATTTTTCAGATGAATTTGTCGAGGCAAAGACTAAGAGCGTGTTTGGGCTAAGCTTAAAACGTTTACTTAAGCCCCTATTTGACAACCATTATTTGGGTAAAATGGAGTTTTAAATAGTGACTTTTTGGAGAATGTATGGTTAAAAATGAGTGAAAAGTTTTGGTCTTAAATGTAAAATATTTTATTATGTGAATGTATGGTTAAAAATGAATGAGTAGAAAAAAAGGTTTTCAAACAATGGTTGTTAAACACGGGATTAGTAAATTCGCCAAAAAGTAAATAAGTTTATTTCAAAATATGTAGCTTTTGTTTATAGGTGAAAGTTGGAAAAAGTTACTTATTTGACACTAAGGTAAGAGTTACATTCAAAATAAGTTAACATATTTGAAAATGAACTTTTACTTCTTTTGTTTTATGCTTGACCAGTGCAATCTAAAATCATTTGTACTAGTCAAGGTTGCACGGACAAAGACACACACGTCGGATAGGATATGACACTGACACACCAACACATGATTGTTCAAAAAGTAGCACATTGACATGTTCAGGACATGTTGATTTAAATTCATATATTATAGCTTTTTATACAAGATAAGATACATGACATGTTGGACAATTTCCTGTCAGATGTCTCTAAAGCATCCGTTATAAGTTGGTAATTTTAAAAATATATAAAAAATGGGACAAGGTCCCATGGCTTATCGGATACACGCCTTTGAGCGTCTGTGGAGTGTTGAGGTCGGACATATACACACTGTCTCAGTAGAAGTGTATGTACATCATAGAAATAGTGATGGCAACAAACTGCTTGAAGCAATGGGAGTGATAACTCATAAATGAATAAAAATAAATATGATTTGTAAAATTCCTTTAATGATGCTAACTGAAATTGGAGAAACTGGATTGATATCATCGTGAAAAGCTTCTTTTTAAATCTTTTTTGTCTATATCCTCTTTTGCTATATGTTTGCTAAGAAAAATAAAATAAAAAATCCAGATCCATCGAACATACCTTGGATCAGAAGGAATGCCAACTCCCCATATGCTGAAAATGGAAGCCCTTTGTGCAGACAGTATGCCAAAGCAATGGTATAACCAACCACCTCAAGTTCAAAGGCCACAACACTTAGTCCCCTGATGCTTTTGTGTTTCAAAATTTTTAGTATCTGAAGAAGAAAAATAAATGAATTAAACAGCAGTTGCTAGCCAAATGAAACATTTAAAAAAAATCATTAGGGTCATAAGATGATTATTTATTTACCATCCAAGTAATTTCTACCATTTTTGGCAGCCATAAGATTTCAATAATTATTTTATTATCATGTTAGCACTTTTCTATTCATTAATTGTGATAAGATCCCACAATATCTGGTCTCAAACATAATCAACTGGACAAAGAACTGGCAGTATCAGAAAAGCCAAAAGTTATCGTGGGTGAAAAAGAAAAGATACCGAGACAATCCTAAAGTCCCAATAATTATTATCAGATTTTGGTTTCTCGAACTGTAAGCATGCTTAGGCATAATATTGAAGGTCTAGAAATTCAAGTTTAACATGGGAAATTGTTCGCTCATGATTCAGTAACTCAATAAATTAAAAAATTAAAGAAACAATATTAAAATTAATTTTCCAATTGTTGAGTTATATAGTCCTTCACCCCACTGAATATGAAAATAAAATCAATAATTTAAAAGCTAAATCTTCATCTATGAAAGAGGGAATTATGAAAATGCTAATAATTATCTGAATAGTCATCTTCAATTACTCCAAGATTTACACTTTAATCGCACACAACACAAGCAAATCACTGAAAGTATACCGTCAACAATAAAACCCATGTCAAATATCCAAACTTTCTAAATTTTCGACAAGAAAATTGCACAAGAAAGCCATAACACATTGAAAAATAATTACAAGATTTATTTTTGTGAAAAAGGAAAATAATTGCCTGAGGGAGTTTGACAGTGGTGGAGGCGGCGACGATGCAGTAACCAAGAAGCTTTGATATCAACGGAAGCAAACAGTCCTTTTCTGGAAAATCACCTCTGCTCAGTGATCCCAACGCACAGCTAAAATCCATTCCGAGAAATTTCATCTCGACCATTCTATTCGATGCACTAATCAAGAGGTGCTGGATTTGATTTGATCACCAAAGGCAAAGAGCAGAAAAGAATAAACGAGGAAATTGCACTGACCTTTCTTTGTAATTAAGCCGTCGTTATCCCTAACTTGTACCCTCTTACACTTTTATCCACAACCTTTTTTCTTTAGTATTGAAGTCCTCGACATTTCATTTTTAACAACATATCACCTCTGCGGACGGTTTTGTAAAATATGTATGTGAAGTTGAAGCATCAATAAAAATCGCCATTAACCTCTCAAATACAAAATAAAATATATAAATCATCTTCTTCCTCTCGTCCACCCTTCTTTTAATCATATTCATCTGTACAAAAATTGATTTTATGTTTTTGACATAGGTTTTTTTACCTTCTTATTGTTTATGTTTGAACATATAAAGTAAATCGTTGTACTTGTAACTATGCTTGGGACATATAGGCACGGGTTTTGGATCGTGGTTGGGAATCATGTACACTTTTAATGTTTTTCATTATGATGAGACACTACAACAAAGACAAGTAATTGATTTCACGAAATGTGGGAATCATGAGTAAGCAATTATTATAAATATAAAGTTAAAATTAATGTTCGAACTTTAAATTATGATGAAATTAAGGTGAGGATTAAAATTAGATTTTTATTAGATTTTGATAAAAAATAATAATAATAATAATAATCTGGACAAGCCTAACCTAAGGGTGGAGAAGCAACACCCATTTCATTTCATTACATTGGCGACGGAGCCGTTAGCGTGTTGATGGACTAACAACAAAAAGGGAATTCCCTAAACTTTTTTTTTTTTGCATGGAGAGGTTATAGACTTGCTAAAGATAACTTAGATAAATGTAATTTTTCATTATCTAAAGTTTTTGTAGTTGATTGTATGAGTATTTTCTTGTTCCCCATTTTACCAAATTTGTCTTCGTAATGGCCTCAGTTTGTTGTTCTTCTTTTTTTGTTCTTTATGTCCTCAATCATATGTTTGTGTAGTTCATTACATACCATTTTCCCGTTCACCTTGGCAACAATCTGTTGTTCCTTTTTGTAATTGATTGTCTTTTGTAATCTAGTTGTTTGTATTTTCTTCCAATGTTAATTCTGAGGTGAACAAATTACATTAAGTGAAGTCCTCACATTGTGTAGTAGAGTAGTAATATCGATTAAAGTGTCAAAACATATATGTACTATACAATGTTGAAGCATCATCCTCATATATTAGCAAAATGTTGGTATGAGAACACATCATTTGCATGTATTGTTGTTTAATGTGGTTTAATTGCATGACAGATTGTGAAGAAGATCCGGACTTCGTAGATTCCGACCACGACTTTGAGTTCGAACAAGATGATATCTAATGATAGACATGTAACTAATGGGATGAAAATTGGAATAGACGATCATCAAGATGAAGTTTAGGACCAACGAGAAAAGGGCAGTGATAACGAGTTGGATGAATTGGAACTGTCGTCATCAGAGGAACTACTCTCCCAATGTTCATCTGATGAGGATTGCAACTACCATTTTTCCTGAATTCTCTGTTGACCAAGTCATGAAAAATTCGCAATTTGAGTAGGGCAAATATTTAGTTCCGCTTCAGAGTTCCAAGAGACAGTGAGAACATACGGTGCAATTGTTACAACATAAAGTTTAAGGCAAATGAGGAAAGACGAGGGCAAGGAATTTGCAAATTAGACTACAAATGGGGAATATGGGCTTCTAAATTTGATATATCTGAGAGGTTGCAAGTAAAATCTTACACTTCGAAGCATACTTGTAGTCGGAACCAGGTTAATAGACATTGAAATTACATATTTTTTATGCATTAGTATATTGAGCAATTCAAGGAGTACTCGGACGTTAGTAGAAACGTAGCATGGAAGATGCGGAGATATGCCAAAGAAGTTTTACTAGGAAATTTGCAAGAGCAGTTTAGGCAATTGCAATCTTATGCAGTCGAGGTGCTACGTACAAATGTTGGCTCGACGGTCATAATTACATTGTAGGAGCAGATTTTTTTGCGAGTCTATAAATGCTTCAATTGTTGTAAGATAGGATCCAGGGAAGGTTGTAGGAAGTTGGTAGGTGTTGACGGTTGTCACTTAAGGGGTTGTTTTGGAGGGATAATATTAACTGCAGTTGGTGTTGACGCTAACGATAGCATTTATTTTATTGCAACTACAGTTGTGAAGCTGTCGTATACTAAGATTAACAGTTAAGTTGGTGTTTTCTGAACCGTGACTCCACCTTCTAATGTATAATTTATTTATTTAATTAATTAATTTATTTTTGTTTTTATTTTTTATTTTTTTGCATGTAAATTGGGAACAAATTGGTAGAAATGTTGATTTTGTATGTATTCAGTATTTAAATTGTAGATGTTGTCGGGAACAAACTATATTGGATTACATGCATGAATCTCATCTTTATCTTCAATCCAAATGCAACATGGATTTTTTAATTTGTGGATGCTGTTGGTCACAACCTATATTTGTGACTTAAGATGCATCCTTTGCCCTCCAAATGTGAGCAAGTGGAGTCATGAGCCATTTGCAAACTAGAATATGTTTGATGAAGCCTTAGTGATTAGATTGCCTAAGATGCACATATGGAGAAACCACAACCTCTAAGCAGTCGAGTATAAAATCTTAATGAATTTTGCACTTATCGAAAGAAATCGAGTCAACTCATCATTAAGAAGGATGACTACCGACATTTTACTTGCAGTCAGCAAAGATAGAACAAAACATGGCATACACGTTGCTAAAAGAATATTTGAAATCATAAGATAAACTTCTAAGTGCATAAATAAAGAAAACGACGTTATCCATACAACTCGATTTCTCCGTACAATTTTAAATATGTTGATAACAAGTAGATAAATTTCAGTTGTTGTCAGTACAATACAAGTCATTCAATTCATTACATATTCGGCTAAAATTCATGGCATTTTTCCCTTTCCCTTTCCTTTCCCATTATCTTCTATATCTCCTTTTCCAATTCCGATAGTCACATTGATAAAGATATCCATGTCCTTCCGGTCAACTATGTGAGCAACACTCTGTAACATACGTGACAAATCTACAATCTAATCTTCGATCGATGTGCCTTCAAATTGCAGGGGTTATTCTTCAACGGCCGGACGACCACCCTAGTTATGATAACTATAGTCTCTACTGTAAGATCGAAGTAACTGACCTTCGTTTGTAATTTTTTCTTCACTTCAATACACTTGACAATGCCCAAAAAACACCTTGGGCACTTTTGTTTTGTCGGGCAGCCAGACATCCAATGGCCCGACTTCCTATAGCTACAACAAATGCCCTTGTTCCTCCTTGCCATTAACAACTGCCATTGCATCCACAAAATGTTCATAAATAATCAGCTGAGAAGTAAATTGACGGAAGATATACAGTATGCATTCACAACTGCTATTGCATCCACAGCAACATAAATAATCATCCACAAATATTTCCTAAAAGTTAATCTCTGAAACGTATAGTTTATTGTCGTTTATTTCGTATTTTCACTATTCTTATAAATAATATGCATCTACAGCAATCAGTGACAAAACAATCGCATGCATCTTCTTCTCTAACTAAATCTTTCATTTATTTACTTCTTAAATTTTCAAAACAAAATCCTTTCACATAGATATTTTCATATGTTATGTTCATTATCACATTTCAGTAGATGAACATTTACCTTTATTTTAATTTAGATCATGATTGCGTAGTAACAACTCTCAATTACTGTATGTCGTCGATCGAATTTTTGAATCCTTACAGTCTTCTAGCATATTTGATCGATTTTGGGACGTAGGGTTCATGAGGCGGATTTGGGAAAAATGACTTCACGCCTCACGGATTCGATTTGGGGAAATCTCTTTTTTCCCATCATAAGGGTTTGGCTTTTACGCCTTCCAAGTCGTGCTTTCATTAATTATTTGTGACATGTTTGGATGAGCCTTTGCTTATTTGGTGATGACTTGGCGAGGGAGATATTGTTTGGAAGTATTTAACTAGCCAAATCAACTTTTCGTCGTCTACGTAGGAGAGTCTATTAACGGTTTTAAATGGGTGAGTGATGGAGTTGGACGGAGTGAAGTTTAGTGGCCAACGAGACAATTTTGAAAGTTTGGTCAATAAACCATGACACGGTATAAAGTGGGTGGCTAATGAAACATTTAACTCAGGATTGCACTCCCTATTTGTGTAAATTTACCATGCATCTCAGTTATTTTAAAACCAAACAAAATGCAAATCATTATTTACGTTTATTTTATATTAATATCTCGTTCCCCAAAAAATAAAAAAATAAGCCACAGAAAAAGGAATTTTTGAAAACATGAACATGGGTGGTGGATCAATCGATGATTCCATCGCCACCTCCACCATGTCGCAGCTAACCCACAGCATGTGGCAACGCTACCAACATTTCTTGGACAAATCAACATTGTTGGTGATGTGCCATTACATCTTTCTGTTGGTGATTGCATTCATCTATGTTGTACTACATTGCCACGTATAGGCTGGGAATCTACATCCTGCAGCTACTGATTGCATTCATTTCGCCCCAGATAGACCTCGAGATCCAATAGGCGATCAATGGATCTGAGGCTCGACGAGTTTCGACCGCAGATATGGTTTTACTATGTACAAAGTAACATTGAGGCGAATGAATAGTCCACACACCTTGAGCATGGGTGGATCCAGAAAATCATGTTGGGGGGCTAAAATTAAATATATATGCACAAATTTTTATAAAGTATGCGACATAAAGTTTCATCAAGACATGACCAATTGAAGTTGCGTTCGTCGAGCTAAAGAATCGGAGTCAGAGATGAACCGTGAACTAAAGAGCACGTTACCACCAGTATCGTTTTCTTTCTGACTTGCAGAAGCTTGGGCCTTTGGGCGTTTCTAGAATCAACGAGAAGAATTTGAGATTTGAGAATTTGAGGAGTATGAATGCATGATTTAATGATTAGGTAGGTTACTGGGTTTAGACTTTGGAATGGAGTTAATCTATGGGCTAATTTTGATTTTGGACTGGGATTGGATTTA